GAAAACAATCTGACACATGTTCCACACGAGGTTGTAGTTTCATGGGTAGGGAATTTCATTCATTCTGATGACAATGTACAACTGATTCTGTGGACTCGTTCCTTTAAATTTTGTGAGATGTTCTGGATTTGCTGCATAATCTGGTGAAGCAGGTAAGGTGGGCTCTACAAAAAATCTGATTTTTTAATCAGCTTCTGTTAGGTCACCTACTTATTATTTATTTATTTAGAAAATTTATAGGCCACCCATCTTGCCTCAAAGTAATTTGAGGTAAATACAACCTTATGTAGAAAAAGTGACTTGGACCTTGCCTCCGTTGTGTATGACTGATTATTAACAGGCTTACTGTCCTACGTTAAAACATGTTCAGAAATGTCAAGTGGTTGTCTTCACATGTTTGAAATTCACTATCTGAACTGGTACATAAGTCTTGGTGGGAAATACATACTGTATTTATCCCAGCAATCATTTGATTAAGTTTCATTTTAATCCAAAATGTTAACAAAATTTTGTACCCTGATGCTATTTTATCATGGTTGGATGGATGGGTGGATGGGCAGGCAGGCAGATGTTTAAAATTTGTCTAGGGATCTTTAAATTGTAATTATTTCATGAGTGATATTTTGTAAAATAGGGTTTAAATCTGTTAAACAATTAAATCTAAATTACAAATAGTATTTAACCTTAATTATATTTGATTTGTAAATGTTGTATTTATAGTAATCAGAAGCTGTAAAATTATTTAATATTATATAAGTTACCATGAATCTCTTCCTGTTTATTCTTTATGTTGTTAATATTATGGTTAATTTCTATCTATAAGCTGTCTTCAGTATATTTTTATGAATCCTTTCTTTGTTCTACTTGACCCCCTTTTCAAGATGAGAAGCCAAGAACTAAACTGAAAACTAGAAAAACTAAGAAGAATATAAAATGATTCTGGGAACTGATAATTGTCTTGATTTTTAAAATAACTAAATGGATGAAATTTCACAAAACCGTTCCTTTGTAGTATATGCTTGGTTGCAAATAGCTGCCTATAAAGGGACATAACTAGTTTAAAGTTTAGAATTGGGAAAGGATTTGGCCAGTTATCTGTCACTTTCTTTTCATTTGGTTATCTTGGGATTCAAAGTACATTTAGAACAGTATGATTTGCTTACAATTTTATTTGTAAAAAATATAAAAAAACAGGCATTTCTGAACTTCAAAACTGAATTAATTTTTCAACTTGGCTTTCATCAGGAAAGATACTAGACAAATAACTTGTTTCTTGTTGGTTACCAAATACTTATTACTTGTTTGACATTTTTGAAGAACAGTGTGGAAGAAAGGTAAAAGACAAGTTATGATGTAATTTTTTAGAGTTAATTGACAATTCATCAGACCTTCATGATGTTACCTAGTTTGGTAATGAAATGTCTGCAAGAAAACAACTAAGCTCAGAGAGCACCAAGGATCCCATAATGTATGGAATGAGAGTATGGGGGAATGTATGAAAAAAGGTATAAGTGTATGAGAAAGAAAGGATAAAATGTCTCTGTTTATTTACATGGGTTATCTGTTTTCAAGGTTGAGGTTCACACCAATATTGATATATTCCCATCCAGTGTGATCAATTATCTTCTAATGTACTTTCTCAAAGTTAGTGCCTGAGGGGGGGAAAAAACTCTCTGATATAAAATCACAGTTCTGCAGAACTTCTTTGTGAATACCAGCTAGGAAATTAGGTTTGGCCTCGTGGCTGAAATTATTCTGCTTGGTAGAATTCTGTGCATATTCATGCTGATAGATAAACTAGTAGCTTTAATGGCTAGGAACGCCTTTTTTCATCTCTATCTAATTAATATGCCATTATCCATCCTGTTACAACTTTGCATAGACTCTAATTAAAATACACAGTAAGTGAATTGGCCTATTAAATGGTAATTGTGGTGGCCAGCTTGGAAGAATTTAAATGAAGAAAGCTTCTCAAGGTGTCCTAGATGAATGCTAACCTCAAGAGGAATGAGGCAGACAGGTACTAACATGGACAAGGCGAACATTTGAGACAACTGGAGGCATCAATAAATGAGATGCCTGATTTGAGATCTCTTATCAGCCCTAGAACATGCAGAGATGAGTGCAGGTCAGAATGGAGGAAATCTGCATGTCTTTTTTCCATTTGAGCTTCTTAAAGCATTAATATCTGAAGAAAGAATCTCTTAATGAGATGTATAAGTAGAATAAAAGTTTAAGTCTCAATTGTTGCCCATTTTTAAAATTATTAACTTGAATAAACGTATTTAGTTCTAAGTTTCACTTTTGAATTTTACAATAAAAGCAAATAATATTTACAGTATTTGTTACAGAAAGCTGAAGATAGGAATAAGGACAGCAATTTTAAATAAAAGTTCCTATTTAGTACTGTACTCCTGTATAAAGTTGAACTGGGGGGAATCATCTAACATGTTACCTCTCCCACATCTGTGAAAAACAGCTCTCTACCTAGGCTTCAAATTTTAAATATACGTTCTCTAAAATCGTTTTTCTTACAGAGGCTGACTGACATTATTCTGATATTCGTTACTGAATACTTGTTTTTAACATTTTCTGCTTAAAGCATTTTTACTCAATGGATTTACTTAAAAATCTATTTACTTAAGATTAATAAAAGAAGTTTCCACAGATTTGCATACTTTATGAATGAGTAAAATTTCAGAGATGTACAGGTAGTCTTCCACGTACATCATTCATTTAGTTACAAAGTTACAATAGCATTAAAAAAAGTGACTTATGGCTGTTTTTCAGTTACAACTGTTACAGCATCCCCATGGCCACACATGATCAAAATTTAGATGTTTGGCAACTGACATGCATTTTTGAATGTTTCATTGTCCTGGGAGTAATGTGATCAGCTTTTGCCACCTTCTGACAAAGTCAATTGGGATGTGAGGGCGATCTGGCTGCGACATCTGTCACCCCATTGATCGCCAGGGTGGATTCGGCTGATCTAGGTGGGTGTTCCCTTCCTCCCTCACCGCTCCATGTGCGTCCCTCCCGAAGCTGCACGTTCGGTGGAAGAGGACGACTATCCCAGATAGAAGGAGTGTACCAATCTTCGGTCAAGGGTATACAATAGCTGAGCTCCCGTGCTAGAACCTCCAAACAATGGCGAAACCAGATTTATTTAACAAGCATGTTATTAACAACTGCAGTGATTCACATAACAACTGTAACAAGAAAGGTTGTAAAAATGGGGCAAAATTCACTTAACTGTCTTCCTTAGCAATAGACATATTGGACTCACTTGTCATAAGTTGAGGACTAGCGGGTTTCTAAGTTTCAGGGAGTAATAAAGTCATTATTACTATTGGTTACTTGGCTCCTATTTTAACTATACTTTCAAGTAGCATCCAGAGAACAATTAGGCGCTAGTAAAATTTTTCTCATATTGTGCAGATGTAAGCTCAGTGCCCGAAGTGGTGTGACGTAGTCAGTAAACTAAACTTCACAAATCAGCCTTCCTATTATTCCATGTTTTTTCTCCCACTACTTTCTTATTGCAGGGGTTTTATACTACTAGAATATTGTCGTTTGCTCCAGTTAGTTTTCAACTTTGTAGCATATTAATGCAACTTGTAACCATTTTTATATGAGTTCTTAACAAAACATCTCTAAGTAGAGACCACTTTTTCATTCTTCTTCGTGTCGTCACCCCTCTCCCCCCTTAAACCCAGATTTAAGCCATCCTGCTTAAATAACTTTGTGTGGAAAGCGAATTGGCAATATCCAAGAAGCTCCAACTCATTGGCTGCTTCAACTTGATTTGATTGAGCTTAATGGCAGAAAGCAGTTGTATAGTTGCAAGAATTTAAGCCCTGTTCTGTATATAAAGCTATGAAGCCCATAAACATAATGATCTGTCTGTAAATTGAATGTTCTTTCTGAAGACCATAATTCATACTGGGATACCTTCAGTAATCTATTGCTAGTCAGGCCAAGCTTTGATACTAAATTATAGCAATTTAGTGCAAAAGGTTTCCAAATTATATTTAGTAATTTATAAATTGTACATGTAATTGTACATGCATATATTATGTAAAATATACATAATATATAAATGTTGTATTGTATTATTCTATTATTAATTATATTAGCATTTGATATACTACTTTAGGACTTTTTTGTGACAATATGAATGTGTTGATAATGCAGAGACTATTTCCATGTAAGACAAGTGAGGTTGGGGATTGCTCCCATGTTAGAAACTTGTCATTAGGAAATGAAGAAAAATTTGGAAAGTTACATAAATAACAGAAAAAGGGTTTTATATTAACATTTTTATTGATGTATTATTTTTAAGTACTCTTTATCATCCATCTGAAGTGCTTCAAGAAGTATTTTATATGGTTTTTCCACTACAGGGGGTTGTCAGTAGTGTATGTGTTTTTGTGTAGTGTGTGTATGTATATACACACATAATTAATGTGTTCAATAGCATGCATATTGATGTCAAATAATGATATAGCATGTTCTTAAGAGCTGCTAATACAGATTTTTTAAGCATATCTAACAGTCATTGAAAGGAGACAAAACGAATGCAGTAGCTTTGCTTTAAATTGCTTAGTGTGAAAAATATTGCTAAAATTATGCAGTATGTTTTAAATTGCCCAGTTGCTTTTTTCCCCCCATAAAAAGCAGCTGCCATCTGGAAATCGTCCTTAAAACTGTCTAATTCTGTGTTGAGTAAAAATAGAGCAGATATAGATAGCCTTTTGAGCAAATCTGTAAATAGCACATAGGCCTCTATTTTTATTTATTTATTACTCTGTAAAGACAGTATTTACAATCTACTTTAAATAAAATCATGGATCGTGATACAGATCGTGATATAGAGCTCTTTAATAATTAGTAGTTTACATATATGAAATTGTAAGACATTTAAATTTTAAAGCAATATCACTGGATGTTGGGAAAAGTATGAATATAATTCTTATTTTTAAACGTTCTTCTCACAGAGCACATCTGTAATACCGGTACCAACAATGCAAGTTCAAGGTCCACCTGTCAGTTTGCCACCTTCTATATATACTGTATCAAGTCCACATGCAGAACAAATGAAAAAACCTGGTCAAAATTTCATGTGTCTTTGGCAATCCTGCAAAAAGTGAGTTTTCCATAATCCTTGCTAAAGATTAGTTTTATATATGTTTATGTTTTTGCTGATTGCATCAGTTTGAGATGCTTTGAAGCACTCACTGTACTTTATATACATGCTGGATTTTTCGGGGGTGTTGTTTTTTTGTTTTTTTATGCAGGAGCCACATCTGAAAACATAGCAACCACCTAATGTTGGAATTCAAATATTCTTATTATCTCTGCAACATACAATTTTGTAGGCAGTTGGCCAGATTACTTTGTTTATTGTCTAAAACCAAAAATTATGTCAAGTTAGCCAATAGACTATAAACAGTGTTGAATTGTTCCTGTCCGTTAGCTGAAAGAGCAAATCTTTACACAGCCAATAATTTCGCCTTTTTAGTTCTCTATCACTGAAATGTTTGGTAGTATTTTGCTGAAGAGCACCTATATCCCTTTACCTATCACCACCCCATAACATCCAGGTATTCATAATAGTTCCTTAAAAGTACATGATACCCTTTGTACAATTTCTTTGAATATCTCTTGTTTCATACTTGTATTTCCAGTGTTTGGCTGTGAGTATTTGAAATCTTGCATAAGAATCCCGAGAAGCCATGCAGAAACTACCATTATATTTTTCAACAGTGTTACATTTAAACTCTTGTTACTATTTTAGAAACTTTGGAATAATGTTGTTAAACTTTTCATAGATGACATGAGTTGTCTTTCCAAATAAATGAATACATTATACATCATACTGTCAGGTTCTAATGTAAAAGTGAGGGGAACCCCCCCACCCGCAGTTCTGAATTGAGTATTTTTTATCTCCCTCACAAACACTGGCATGAACTGATATCCATTAGCAGGCAATTCAAAGTCAGGACTAACCGTCCAATAACTGTCCCGTGACCCGTCAAAACCGCGGAGGACAAAATCGCGCTCGACGAAAGCGCGCATTTGACGTCATCACAGCGCGACGAAAACATCGCGCTGTGATCAAAAAATGTAAAAAAGCGAAAACCTAACCCTAAACCTAACCCTTAACGTAACCCTAAATCTAACCCTAAACCTAACCC